ACTAAGCAAAAATAACCTCACCATACTGCGACGTTCCGTGTGAGCGCCGCGGATGGTGAGATTGCCGTTTTTATGGGCTCGATAGGGCGCGTTTATTCACTTAGTTGGGGTGTAATACCCAGGATGGGTCCATATACACTAGATAGGGGGGTATCCCCAACCTGTTTGGTCAAATAGAGTAGGGTTAGAATTTGCGTGTGACAGCGATGTTTGTTTACGAGTACATTTCAGTCTTTTTAAGTGTAGATTTGAGTTGTAAGAGATGTTATTCATTGTCTTATTATATTCAGGGTATAATAGATTATTTCTGGCAGTGTAGAGTTTAATCTCATTATTTTATTGTTCATGATACAGAGAGGAATAGTTATGACGTCACAGATATTATACGAACACTTCATTATATGAGAGATTTTCTAAGCGTTCCTATAAGAGATTAAGTGTAAACATTTCTGAATTATGAACAAGTTATTTATCTGAAATTTATGAGTGTACAAATGACAAAGAGAGAGAGTAGATAATAGAGAATCTATTGTATACTTATGAGAGCTCATTATTGTTTTCAGAACTCCATGATCCAAACCTCCTTGTGTTTGGGAATAAATGGTGTTGGAAGACCTCCCACAATAGACTTGTTCTTTGACCCGTGAACCACCACCCATTTTGTTTTCTTATCAATTAATGTAAAATGGCTTTTGTTACAATTTATGACTTCTGTTAGCAAAATTGCTACATCAGTACAACTCCTATTTAATTTGAAATAATCGTTTCTGAGAATCTCTAAAGAAAACTAAATCTGACAGAATAACAACAATTTTCCATTGTTTTGCAGGACAATGTCAAACAATTTGATGTCAAGAATGAATGTTGATGGGCAAAACGGCAAGTTTTCTTTTAAGAATACAAGGTTGTATTCAATCATCTCTGGTAAGTTAATTACCAAATGCAGCATTTTCATCATGACCATAGCAATTAATATATAACAGTAAAGCATCGTCTAATTCATCCTAATTCATAGTCTAATTAAAAATCAACTTGCAATTGAGGGATTTTTTTTTTTTAAAATGTTTAAAAAACTTCCATTCCTTTAGTTGAAAATATAAATTGTTTACACTTTTCGTCATGTTTTGTATGGATGCTGTTCATATACATGTTACATATGTTCACATGCCAAGTTACAGCAGTGAAATGAACCTTTCAAGTGATTGATTAAACAAATACTTGATTCATTTAAGACAATATATCTTCCATATAAAATTATTCATGTATTTAAATATAAAATTTCAGAATGTGTCCTATCTCATGGGAATGAGATGGGAATGCATCCGAAGCAAATTTCAAGAAAGAGTTAGGAACGTTTCTGAAGTATCCACCTGACTGCCAGGCAGGGAGTGGCAGAAAGAAGAGGAGCTGATAATTGTGTTTTTGGAGTTGTAATTGTGTTTAAAAAAATGTAAACTGTGGTATTGAAATTGGTGGCGTAAATGTCAGTTTAATGTTATATGCAGATAATATTGTGTTATTAGCACAACAGAGATCACCTACAGACTATGCCATATGTGATGTTTTACATTATGCTTTAAACCACGTTTCTCTCTCTCTCTCTCTCTCTCTCTCTCTCTCTCTCTCTCTCTCTCTCTCTCTCTCTCTCTCTCTCTCTCTCTCTCTCTCTCTCTCTCTCTCTCTCTCTCTCTCTCTCTCTCTCTCTCTCTCTCTCTCTCTCTCTGTGTGTGTGTGTGTGTTCATAAAGTTTCATGAAAAGTGACTTGTTTTATGTGCTGTCTTCAGGTATAGTTCCTGGTCATCTTGGATCCCTTTCGTGGTGAAAGTAACTGCATTGTGTTTATTCAGGGGTCTGTCTAATAGCTGAAATTCAGACAAAATGTCTTCTCGGGACAATTTCCACCTTTTCAAGATACCGATACAACAGTAAATAGTTTTTCTTAATTTGGAATACTCTTTCCTTCTTACTGGAATTACATCCAACTGACATAAAACTTAAATGAACATTATATTGAATGTGGAATTTTAACCAAGTATTTTATCAGGTAAATATTTTTACTGCAATTTTCTGTTTGAACACTGTTTATTGCAGGTAGCTTTTGGGGTATTTTAACTGGATGCATGAGTTTGGTGCTACTTTAGTGTAGTTTAAGGTGAAGTGCGAGTCTATTTACAGGAAAGCGTAATACACAACCACGGAACAATCCATTTTCAACATTAATAATGTGTCAAACTTCAACGTTGATTCCACGTCGGATATCTACGTCTAAAAAACTTTCATATACAACCTATTCTCAACGTTGCCTGCTGGGAAAAGTGGCGTAAAACTAAACTTACTCACCCAGTGACTTTTATCCGCTAGTTTATTTGAATACACACTATTGCCTCATGAGGGGCTATACACAACAGTATGGTGGTCTTTGTTCTGGCAAATACGAGACATTGTGATTTATACAGTGTGTGACGCTAAGATATTGTTTCTGTGTGATTATGAGAAGACAGTGGGGTGGAGGACTTGTTAAAGCGTTCGCTCATCACGCCAAAAGTCCGTTTAACACGGTCTCTCTGTTATATCACGGTATTAGTTGACTGTGATAGCCGGATGTGACGTAGGCTCACCACGGTGCGTGCGTGCGCGTGCAATCACTCTTCTACCCAGGGATCGATGCGGTCAGCCAGCATAGTATGTTTGTGGCGTTTCGTCACACCGAGCTACTGGCAAACAAGGATAAGTTGGACCGGACCGGACCGGCACAGAGAACGCGTTTACGAGAAGTAGGCGGTGCACGGCAATGAGCAAACCCATCTGGTTTGTGAAAGGTAGAGCAGAGGCGTGTTCAGAACCGCGAGCGTCCGCGCGATTGCCTCCCGCGAGCGCTCGCATCGGCCCTGAACGGACGCGAGCGCTTGGTTACAATAAGCCATTCGTGACCAACTCGTGTTGTTCCGGGACAAGCCGAATAGCTTCTTTATTATATTCTTAAGGGTGAAATACTGTAAATATTGGTGAAAATAAAAATGGTATTGTCATTTTCACTGAGTAGAATATCACTTTTGCCTGGAACTACGAAAAGCGAACGACGAAATCGATGTCTCGATCATTTATAAACATTGATCAAAATATAATAAATAGAATATTTTGTTAATGTTGTCAATGGTTACGCAACTCGTGAACATATCAATTTTTTCAGACCACTCGATGATACATGTTATTTGACAACATTAACAAAATATTCTCCCTGTCTCCTTTTTGGAGGTTACGGAAAGGGGCGAGTGGTGACGAATGACATTAAACATGATCGCCATAATTGGTTCGCTTGGTGAGGCAGCTGTGAGAATGGTTCGCGTGCGCGCGCGGGCGCCCGAGCGGGCACAGGCGTTCAGGATCGAGCGCTCGCTAGCGTTCGCGGGCACTCGCGGTTCTGAACACGCCTCTGATGTAGGCTACTGCACGTGCATTACATGACGATGAAATTGATTCCGCGCCTTGTTCATAAGACTCTCACGTCGGTGTAGCAAGTCGCACTACACTTGATCGCGGACAACCTGGGGCCCATCGCTAACAATGGCACTCATACATGCTAATACGGGTCAGTTGTCAGGTCGGTGCTCAACTTATCCTTGTTTGCCAGTAGCACAGTCCATTCAATATAATGTACATATTTTTTAACTTTGTTTTATGTTTGATGAGTCTACAAAAAAAATTTCAACATCATTGTTAGAATGGTTTAGTTTTACTGAGAAAATATCCTAAAACGTGCAGCGCTATTGCGTAGCGATCCTTTGTTTACATGAGTTGTAAGGCACCACGTGCTGTCATGGAAGCTGACGGAGAGCAAACGATCCACCCTCTTTAATATATAAATATGAATTGTTCTAAACCTTACTGTCGAAGTCGTAGAAGATTATTTATGTAACAATGTAAAATATTATGAATACCGCGCCGATTGCTTCGTTGGGCCAGTATCTTCTTATTTACGAATATGCGCGTTTGTTTATAAACAAGAGAATAGTCCGGTCACGTGATATGCAAATTAGTCTGTGGCAGTGATGTTATGCAGAGTCATCACTGCGCCGGAATGTGTGGTTGAATATGTGAAGCCTATTTCAGGTATCCTGACTGGAATGCTCTCAAAAGCGGCGTTAAACCATATTCACCTTCGGTGTGTCTACCTGCACGATCAGATCAAAGTGTCCACCAGTCTGGCGACACTACACAGTAAACGACCTTCTCAGAACACAAACCGAAAGCTGAAATTAAGAAATGCGTGTTTTGATTGCACCATGGTGATGAGTATCCATTATGAATTTGTATAGATAGCTGACGTAAGCATGAAGCGATCGATGTTAATCATTCAATCAATGAGACAATTTCTTTCGGACTATCGACTTATAACAGTCTCACAGTCCCTGAACCCCATTATTTTCCCTTCCACCCAGCCCTTTCTGCAATGCAAAAGCATTAAATGAAGCAAGTCCAGATTTCCTCATGTTCAAGTTCTGCATCTCCCATATCACTCTGGCTCCTTTGCAGTTCGGATTTATTTGTTTCTGTCAAACTTATATATATTCAGAGACTAAGCGTTAGTCTAGACTCATGACAGAGTGACACGGAACACTGCAGAACTGTACAACCTCGTTAAACCAAAAATATCCGGGGAGTTTGGGCGAGCAATCGTTTAACGATCATAATTAAATCACCCAGCGTTTTATTCTAAAAACTACCTACATGCATTGATAAACGACCAAAGTATGTTAGTTAGTTAGTTTGGGTTTGTGTTCGATTCCCCACATGGATACAGTGTCTGAAGCCCATTTCTGGTGTTCCCCGCCCTGATATTGCTGGAATATTAGTAAAAGCGGCGTAAAACCATAGTATTACTCTCTCACTTTCCAAGTACTTAGCCTTGTAGCTACGGGATGTAAGTAATACACCAGCATTAGTAATCGAGTCATGGTCAACTCAGTGTCAAGGCATTTCTCTATAAATTAAAACTTACCTTAACTCAGAGTCAGTTAACACACGTCTGTAATCAAGCTTTCACCACTGCCACTATACTCATCGATCGAAATAAACATTAACTAAACACTGCGAACAGCAATTACGTCATTGGTGTGGAATCGAAACAGAAAGCAAATTCTTCGAAGTGCTTGACTAACGCTTAGTCTCTGAAAATGTGTTATTTTGGAAGCAACATTTCACACCATTTAAACTTGTCAACCCAGTGTCAAGGCATTTCTCTGTGAATTAAAACTTACCTCAACTCAGGGCCAGTAAACGAACGTCTGTGAAGAAGCTTTCACCACAGTGACTATATTCAGCGACTGAAATAATCATTAACTAAAAACTGAGAATAGCAAATACGTCCTTGTGTAATCGAATCAGGCAGCTAATTCTACGAAACTTAAGTGTGTTCTCAGAAGGGCACGTGAGTAAGCTAGACTAAAGCTTAGTCTCTGAAAATATGTTATTTTGGTAGCAACAAATCAGACTGTTTAAACTGAAAAGCAGCCACAGTGAAATGGGAGATTCAGAGCCTGTGGAAAATTGGGAGTTGATTAAATAAGGGCTACAGGGCTTATACATGAAGGGCTGTATGGGGACTGTGAGACAGACTAGTGTGTAACGCTTGCAGGACACACAGATGTCACACTTGCAGTGGGCCGACATTCATTTATCTCGGAAGTGTTTCACTTTCTAATCTAACAAAAACAAGTGGGTGCTGCCACGACCATGCATTAAGCGAAATGATCATACATTGAGCGAAATGAGCTAACGCCTTTCCTATTTTTTCGTGGCATCTTCACAATACTTGTGCTAAGCATGGCGGTCTCTTGGGGTGTTTTCTTTTTACAAAATAACACTTGTATAAAGTATCCCCAAACACCAGACCCAGTTGCTAACAAACATATGCTAGTTACGGTAATACTTCCTGGATCGGGTGCATGAACAATAATTAAATGGACACGGGAAAGATAATGAAAACATCACAAAAATTTGGAGGGCATTATTGTCAGATTATTAGAGTATTAACAACAACATTTTTACTTTCCCTTCCTAAATGTCGGCCTTTTGTTTATTTTATTTCGTGTTTTCAAACGTTTTACTCAAAATTTAGGTAAGTTGAACGCCCCAACATGTATATTTTCCCTATTATGCAATTATTTCATTTCATCTACAGTCCGTTTGACGGACCGATGAATTGCAATCTAACTCGAAAACTAATATACATATAATACTCAATGAAACGCCTGGCTATCCCTTTCTCTGCACCCATCCCTCGTAACAAGTAGTGAACTGTGTCAATATTTTAATGATAGTTTGTTTTATTTTATTTTTAAGATATAAATTCAGCAAAAACCTCAGAGTTGGTCTGATGTTTTGATTATGATCAACGTTTCATTGAGCAGTTTGGGTGTATTACTTTTCGAGTCAGATTGTAATTCATCGGTCCGCTTTTGAGCCATACGGACTGTAGCTCTCACCTACCTCGTCGGCGACATACCCCTGCCTGAAGCCGACGTAAAACACCTACATGATGATGGGAGTCATCCAAGGTGGAGTTTCTGGCCACAAGTAGGGGAGGTTTGAAAGTCAGTTATGAAGGCTTTTTTGTACCATGGACCACTTCCTGGGTTAAATCGACCACTTCCTCGGTAACATGGATCACTTTCTAGTTGCATGGACCACTTTCTCGGTTACATGGACCACTTCCTTGGTTACATGGACCACTTCCTAGTTACATGGACCACTTCGTCGGCTGCATGGACCACTACTTTGGGTTCACGGATCACGTCCTAGGTTATATGGACCACTTTCTCTGTTACATGGACCACTTCCAAGGTAACATGGACCACTTCCTAGGTTACATGGACCACTTCCTAGGTTACATGGACCACATCCTAAGTTACATGGACCACTTCCTAAGTGGCATGGACCTATTCCTAAGGTACATGGACCATTTCCTAGGTTACATGGACCACTTCCTAAGTTACATGGACCACTTCCTAGGTAACATAGGCAACTTTTCGGTAATATGGATCACTTCCAAGGTTACATGGACCACTTCCTAGGTAACATGGATCACTTTCTCGGTAACATGGATCACTTCCAAGGATACATAGACCACATCCTAAGTTACATGGACCACTTCCTAGGTTACATGGACCACTTCCAAGGTTACACGCATCACTTCCTGAGTAACATGGACCACTTTCTGGGTAACATGGATCACTTCCTTGGTTACATGGACCACTTCATAGTTACATGGACGACCTTCTCGGTAATATGGATCACTTCAAAGGTTACATAGACCACTTCCTAGGTTACATGGACCACTTCCTAGGTTACATGGACCACTTCCTAGGTAAAATGGACCACTTCCTAGGTTACATGGACCAAATCCTAGGTTACATGGACAACATCCTAAGTTACATGGACCACTTCCTAAGTCAAATAGACCGCATCCTAAGTTACACGGATCACTTCCAAGGTTACATAGACCACATCCTAAGTTACACGGATCACTTTCAATGTTACATAGACCACATCTTAAGTTACACAGATCTCTTCCAAGGTTACATGGACCACTTCCTAAGTGACATGGACCACTTTCTCTGTAACATGGATCACTTCCTTGGTTACATGTACCACCTCTTATATTACATGGACCACTTCAAAGGTTACATGGACGACCTTCTCGGTAACATGGACCACTTCCTCGGCTACATGGACCACTTCCAAGGTTACATGGACTACTTCCTTAGTCACATGGACCTCTTCCTAGGTTACATGGACCACATCCTAAGTTACATGGACCACTTCCTAGGTCACATGGACAACTTTTCGGTAACATGGATCACTTCCAACGTTACATATACCACTTCCTAGTTATCATGGATCACTTTCTCGGTAACATGGATGACTTCCAAGGATACATAGACCACATCCTAAGTTACATGGACCACTTCCCAGGTTACATGGACCACTTCCAAGGTTACACGCATCACTTCCTGAGTAACATGGACCACTTTCTGGGTAACATGGATCACTTCCTTGGTTACATGTATCACCTCTTAGGTTACATGGACCACTTCATAGTTACATAGACGACCTTCTCGGTAACATGGATCACTTCAAAGGTTACATGGACCACTTCCTAAGTTTCATGAACCATTTCCAAGGTTACATGGACCACTTCCTCGGCTACATGGACCACTACTTTTGGTGCACGGATCACGTCCTAGGTTACATGGGTCACTTTCTCTGTTACATTGACCACTTCCTTAGTTACATGGACCACTTCCTAGGTTCCATGGACCACATCCTAAGTTACATGGACCACTTCCTGTGTTACATTGACCCATTCCTAACGTTCCATGGACCACATCCTTAGTTACATGGACCACTTCCTAAGTTACATAGACCACATCCTAAGTTACACGGATCACTTCCAAGGTTACATGGACCACTTCCTAGGTAACATGGATCACTTTCTCGGTAACATGCATCACGTCCAAGGAAACGTAGACCACATCTTAAGTTACATGGACCACTTCCTAGGTTACATGGACCGCTTCCAACGTTACACTATCACTTCCTAAGTTACATGGACCACTTTCTCGGTAACAAGGATCACTTCCTTGGTTACATGTACCGCCTGTTAGGTTGCATGGACCACTTCCTAGGTTACATGGACCACTTCCTAGGTAACATTGACCACTTTCTCTGTAATATGGATCACTTCCTTAGTTACATGTATCACCTCTTAGGTTACATGGACCACTTCAAAGGTTACATGGACCACTTCCTAAGTTTCATGAACCATTTCCAAGGTTACATGGACCACTTCCTCGGCTACATGGACCACTTCCTCTGCTACATGGACCACTACTTTGGGTACACGGATCACGTCCTAGGTTACATGGATCACTTTCTCTGTTACATCGACCACTTCCTAGGTTACATGGACCACATCCTAAGTTACATGGACCACTTCCTAAGTGGCATGGACCTATTCCTAAGGTACATGGACCATTTCCTAGGTTACATGGACCACTTCCTATGTTACATGGACCACTTCCTAGGTAACATAGGCAACTTTTCGGTAATATGGATCACTTCCAAGGTTACATGGACCACTTCCTAGGTAACATGGATCACTTTCTCGGTAACATGGATCACTTCCAAGGATACATAGACCACATCCTAAGTTACATGGACCACTTCCTAGGTTACATGGACCACTTCCAAGGTTACACGCATCACTTCCTGAGTAACATGGACCACTTTCTGGGTAACATGGATCACTTCCTTGGTTACATGGACCACTTCATAGTTACATGGACGACCTTCTCGGTAACATGGATCACTTCAAAGGTTACATAGACCACTTCCTAGGTTACATGGACCACTTCCTAGGTAAAATGGACCACTTCCTAGGTTACATGGACCAAATCCTAGGTTACATGGACAACATCCTAAGTTACATGGACCACTTCCTCGGCTACATGGACCACTTCCAAGGTTACATGGACTACTTCCTTAGTCACATGGACCTCTTCCTAGGTTACATGGACCACATCCTAAGTTACATGGACCACTTCCTAGGTCACATGGACAACTTTTCGGTAACATGGATCACTTCCAAGGTTACATATACCACTTCCTAGTTAACATGGATCACTTTCTCGGTAACATGGATGACTTCCAAGGATACATAGACCACATCCTAAGTTACATGGACCACTTCCCAGGTTACATGGACCACTTCCAAGGTTACACGCATCACTTCCTGAGTAACATGGACCACTTTCTGGGTAACATGGACCACTTCCTTGGTTACATGTATCACCTCTTAGGTTACATGGACCACTTCATAGTTACATAGACGACCTTCTCGGTAACATGGATCACTTCAAAAGTTACATGGACCACTTCCTAAGTTTCGTGAACCATTTCCAAGGTTACATGGACCACTTCCTCGGCTACATGGACCACTACTTTTGGTGCACGGATCACGTCCTAGGTTACATGGGTCACTTTCTCTGTTACATTGACCACTTCCTTAGTTACATGGACCACTTCCTAGGTTCCATGGACCACATCCTACGTTACATGGACCACTTCCTGTGTTACATGGACCCATTCCTAACGTTCCATGGACCACATCCTAAGTTACATGGACCACTTACTAAGTTACATAGACCACAT